CCTTTTCCAGCTGTCGTAATCTATCGCCAAACTTTTCTTCGATCACCTCCGCCAGCTGACGAGCCAGGGGGGCTGATCCTTCTGACCTGATTCCCATACTAATTTGAGGGGTAACCCCTCTTGACTGAGTAGAGGCATTTTTATTCCCATCAGTGTGATCCCTTCCTCCGTGGTGACAGGGAGCTTGTAATTCGAGACTTCTTTGATGGGGACCTTTCCCTTTTTGTCGAGTGTTCACCATAATCACTGTTCTTTATAGAGAAAAAACTAGGAAAACTAATCGTTTCCCACAGACGGCGCCAGATTATGCGTGCTAGATCTTGTACAATATAAAAACGAGAACAGATCTCTCCCTTGGTGAACTCGAGTGAGTCAGTTGAGTGGTTAACCACGCTGCTTGGAACAGCCTGTGAGATCTGGTGGTAACCTGGAACGGTAATGGGAGACCCTTGCGGATCAAAGGAACAATCCAGTAAGGCTGAAGAAAGGTTCCTGGAACAAAGAAGAACAAGTTAGAAGGGCGCCGGAGTGTTTTCCGACGTATTCCACGATCAAGTCAGTTTTTGAGAGAGAGGAAGAAAAAAACACTGAGTATAATTTGTAGCAAAAGTTTCACCTCCTTTTTTTGCCTTTAGTGAGGAGTATTTATACCTCAAATACTCATGATTGCTGTCAGTGTGGTCAGTAGATGATCATTAGATACAGGCAACGTACGCACTGATTCCTATGAGGAATGTCTTCTCTCTTAACTGCTCGGGACCCCGAGCAATCAAGACTGTGTCATCGGCCTGTCAACGGTTCAATGAGCTAATCTTGGGGAGGATGCAATAAATGCCCAGCCTTAGAGACATTTATTGCCTTTCACTTCTGAGCCTTACCGCATTGAATGCAGTCTCATAAAGGGAATGGTGTAAAATTAAATGCTTGTTTTCCCAAGTCGCGTGTCAGCAAGGTCATGCGGTCTTTCTGTCTCTGATGTGACACAATATGTCACGCGTCCATTCCTCATTGGCNAGAGAAAAAACTAGGAAAACTAATCGTTTCCCACAGACGGCGCCAGATTATGCGTGCTAGATCTTGTACAATATAAAAACGAGAACAGATCTCTCCCTTGGTGAACTCGAGTGAGTCAGTTGAGTGGTTAACCACGCTGCTTGGAACAGCCTGTGAGATCTGGTGGTAACCTGGAACGGTAATGGGAGACCCTTGCGGATCAAAGGAACAATCCAGTAAGGCTGAAGAAAGGTTCCTGGAACAAAGAAGAACAAGTTAGAAGGGCGCCGGAGTGTTTTCCGACGTATTCCACGATCAAGTCAGTTTTTGAGAGAGAGGAAGAAAAAAACACTGAGTATAATTTGTAGCAAAAGTTTCACCTCCTTTTTTTGCCTTTAGTGAGGAGTATTTATACCTCAAATACTCATGATTGCTGTCAGTGTGGTCAGTAGATGATCATTAGATACAGGCAACGTACGCACTGATTCCTATGAGGAATGTCTTCTCTCTTAACTGCTCGGGACCCCGAGCAATCAAGACTGTGTCATCGGCCTGTCAACGGTTCAATGAGCTAATCTTGGGGAGGATGCAATAAATGCCCAGCCTTAGAGACATTTATTGCCTTTCACTTCTGAGCCTTACCGCATTGAATGCAGTCTCATAAAGGGAATGGTGTAAAATTAAATGCTTGTTTTCCCAAGTCGCGTGTCAGCAAGGTCATGCGGTCTTTCTGTCTCTGATGTGACACAATATGTCACGCGTCCATTCCTCATTGGTTGTAGCCCCTGCTTTCCTGTGCCTTCTGACACTAATTGTGTAAGACGAGGTCATGATAACTAACCTAGCCTAGCCTAAGCTAGTGACAAATGCATCAATAACCTCTGCTGGAGCAGAGAACTTCATCATGGATGAGAGGGGTACATCTCGGTACCGAGGAAGAGGTACATCTCAGAGCCGAGGAAGAGGTACATCTCGAAAACCGAGGAATAGGTACATCTTGAATCCGAGAGGGAGAGGCTTAGCGACCGATGTACCATATCAGACCGAGGGTACGTGTCGGCACATAAAAATGTACTAGATGCCACTCGATCCCATGATAAGTACCTCGGGGTAGAGGGGACTTGTGATCCGATGGGTACGTGATCTCGATAACAAGGATCGGTGACACCGAGGACACGTGTCTTCATCTTGGAATATTCCGAAAATGTCCCATCAGTTCCCAACAAAACAAAATCGGGCTAATGCAAGTAATGGTTTCTGATGTCAGTAATCAGAACCGATCAGCTTGGCTGGCCAAGGCAATGACCCGATAAAAATACGAAGCTGGGAGGAGATTGACAAGGCAGCGGTCCGAGTGAGAGAATACCCAGTTGAAAGGAGCACCGAGCTAACTCCAACAAGGAATCAACACCTAATAGTGGAGGTGAAAAAAAGATATGGAAAGAGAGTCCACCAAATGAGGCAGTAACCCCCCTTGATTTTCTTCTACATTCCGTATGTAAACCCAACGTAAAATGGTTAATTCTAGATGAATAGCTTACGCAAAGTATTATTAAGCATTCCAAATAAAATGAGTATATAATATTTTGCATTCTGTAGCAGTTATTATTTCTTGAAATTCAAACAAAATCACTGAGATTTACCTGTTCTACTAGTAGAAGTAGTGGCGTTGGACTCTCGGGTTTTCTTAGCGAACCTCAATGGTTTGGAAGGAGCAGCTTTATACATCTCCTGTGAGTATAATGCTCGGAAAGATAGTACGTGCGCCATTCACAGTGAAATTGTAAGAGAGAGAGAGAGAAGCAAGGATATACGTGGGAAACGGGTCTGTATTTCCTCGGAGGTAAACGCAGACCAGGTACCGAGCGACGAAGATAACAGGCGGATGTTATGAAATTACCGAAGTACCCCTATAGAATTAAGGCGGCAATGAGAAACGATCTCATTCGTTTTAGGCCTCATTGGCTTGTGTGGCCCAGAGGCTAGCCCCAACTGGTCATGGGCTGGGCCATTTGTCATGTGATAACCTTTGGAACCCAATCAATACTAATATGCACTCCCTTTTTACTTGTAGAAGTACATTTTATATAGGGTAAACTGTAAGGGGTATACAAAATTAAACTTATTTGATAAAAAGTATATACTAAAAAATATAAGGTTATTAAGTACTTAATTTTGATATTTATTTGTATCCAAGTACATAATTTAAATTTATCTATTTTTAATGTGACATTTTTGCCCTTTATTAATCCATGTGTATTTAATGCACCACTTTTCTTTGGAAAGTGGTGCATTAAATATCTTCTAGTTTTATGGGAGAACTTTAATATATATACACATAAATAAATATTTTTATATATATTTTATGTATTTATGTATATATTTATATATACTTTATGTATTTATGTATATTTTTATATATACATACATACGTATTTATATATGTATAAATACTTATATATGTATGTATATACTTGTTTTTAAATCTCTTATTTAAATTTTGAATTATTTTTTAATGCACCTTGATTCATGCATTTTTTTTTTTAGAAAGTAGTTTTATTTTCAAATTAATTTAATATCCGAATAATGTAACAATATAACAATAACACTGTAACAATAAATGTGTAACAATGTAACAGTATAACAATAATAGTGTAACAAGCTATTTACACAAAATATTGTACTGTTACATTTTATCAAACATATAGTTTCATTTAAAATACCCCATCTCCGTTTTAAATTTGTTACCATATACACAAAACTACTGAACACTGTTTTTGTTATACTGTTACATTATTCGGATATTAAATTAATTTAAAAATAAAACTATTTAAAAAAAAACGTTTGAATCAAGGTACATTAAATATAATTTGAAAACAAAATCACTTTTTAAAAAAATACACATAAATCAATGTGCATTAAAGATAATTCAAAATTTAAATAAGAGATTTAACAACAATATATATATATATACATGTATTAACAAATACACGTAAATCAAATGTGCATTAAATACGTAGTTATATATATTAACAAACACACATGAATCAAGGTGCATTAAAGATAAGAGATTTTAAATTAAATGACCTTAAAATGAGCATTTTTGTTTTTTTAACTCATATTTTGTTCTATATATTTTTTATCAAATAAGTCTAATTAGATGTACCGGCTTTTAAATAACCCTTTTAGATATGTCGATTATGTTATAACCGAAGTTTTACTCATGTCAACAAAGTCGGACTTGGAGAAATTATATGTATTATTGATGGTCAATCTATTAAAAAATCGAGTCCTAAATTAACATTAAGAATTTTTTATACGGGCAGAGTATTCATAAGGTATTGCAAAACATGTGCGAGTCCCTTATAATGAAAAGACAAAATTTAATAAAATTTTGATTCAATTGACACGTACACGTCATGAATCAAAATTTCTTATAAGAGTTAATTGTAAAAGTTGATCAGATTAGAGCATGCGAAGACGATTATTGAAATAAATTTGAGAAATAATGAAAAAACTATCTATTAGTCTAAACTTATAAAAATACAATAACAATTAAGGTTGATTTAATTTTTATTTACTTTGATCTAATGATACAAAATCATTAAAAAAAAATTTCCCTTGCAATAACAATATTTTTTTTTGCACAATTTGTAATATCAAATAATCTTACTAATTCACACATATTTTTCCCTCATCTCTCCTTAAAAAATAAAAATATAATACGATTGATGCTCAATGTTTTCTATTGCAAACATATGTTTAAACACGGATTACTGCTAAACACCCTTTTTAGTTTTTAGTCTTACCCGATATGGATAGGCCCGAGTATTTTTGGGTAGGCTAATCCGGCTTTTTGGGCAGCTAACTATTTTTTGTGACCTCATGGTAGACTGGGTATGGACGGTCCGACACAGCCCGTTTGCGGAATTTTCTGGCCCTGGTGGAAGTCACCCGGGTAGGAGGAGCGAGCTTTGAGCATTCCATTCATCCCTACACTTCAATCAATGGCTTCTTCGAATGTTGAAGTGCCGGTCTTCATCGATACTAACTTGGACACCCACATTGCCTTGACTATCTCTCCGCGTACCACTTATGGACAGTTCAAGAGTAAGGGATTTCTTCTTCATTCTAATGTTTTTTTCTTATCTCTCCTTTGTCTGTATGTATGTATATGATACTTGGACGGGCTATAGCTTATACTGGAAAGATCAATACTTTATGGCATTTGGTTATGTGTGCTATTGCTTTTTATAGTTGTTTAGCTTTAGTGTGAGACTTGTTTAGTGAAAGATCGGTGGGTAAATGGTATTGGGTTATCTACAAACTTTGCATCTAGATCATTGTCCTGCTTTTGAAAATGGGTTTTTGTTTCTTTTTGTGCGTCTTTCATTATGCCATGCGTTTTGTTTTGGGAGGATGGAAGGGAAGAGAAGGGAAAATTAGGAAGGGGAATAATGGAAAAAGAGGTGGGAAAAGAAATCCTTTCTCTTGTTTGATGGGTAGAGAAAATGGATAGAAAAAAAAAAAGAGAAAAAGTGAAAATTTGATGAAGTTATAAAAAAGAAGAAAAAGAGAGAGAAAACGAAAGTACTTTCCCGTGTTATCCTTTCTACTTTCTCTCCTCTTCCCCTTCCCATCCGCCCTGTCCAAACCAATCGTAAGGTAAGTTGACGTTCCAAGAAATGACACGTGTAGTATAATTTATGAATAGACCCATGAATGTGTATATTACACAGTTATGTAACTGATAAAACTTTGCATTGTTTACCAACATCAAATCACTTTTGCGCCCATATTTGTCATTGGGGCTGGCAAGTTTTGTGAGATATCTCCATTGACGATCAATTATGAATAGTATGAGAATAATTACACGTACACCAGTAGACAGATGCTTCTTAGTTCCTCGTATAACTTGTGGTAGCCTTGGTGCTTAGTTTAGTCTTCGGATATTCACAGATTACATAAAAATCAAGAGTAAACTGATTGTTCTCATAAAACTCTAGGAGCTCCTCTGAAAGATGACAAAACAAAGGAATTGTAGAAGAACTCCTTTTATGGATGCAAATCATCTTAATCACGGCCTTTCTGACCATGTTTCATTTGGGTAAGCTTCTTAGTCTTTATGTTACTATAACTGATCACACAGATATTTATTGATCACAGTTGTTCATAGTATGGTGAAAGCTCATAACATTGCTTGCCATTCATTAACTTCTAGGATGTGTTCAAGTTGTTTTTCAGTAAATGGTCTGGTGAAGCTCATTACATTATGAGACTTACAATTCTTATTATGCTACCACTTGCTCAAATGTAATCGGTGTCACCTATTTGTAGGAGAATTTGAGAGTACACATTTGAATTGTTTCCCCAAATTTGGAGAGATCATGATAAATGGATTAATGGTACGTCAAACTATTCTCCTCCATGGCTTCACCTTTTCTGAGTTTTAAGTTGATACAACTCAGCTAATGTATGCTCATTTTCAATACTCGTGCATGCTTCACATTGAGCACTTCATCTCCTTGATTTTTCTAACAGGTGAAGCAGAAATCACACTTCTATCATCTGCCTGAATCATTGCCTTTACTTCACGCTTTCCAGGGTATTAAAGGAACATGGTGTATTCACATTGAAGCATGTCTTTGGAGCAGCTCTGATCCCTCATGTTCTTCCAAAAGTGTGNGAGAGAGAAAACGAAAGTACTTTCCCGTGTTATCCTTTCTACTTTCTCTCCTCTTCCCCTTCCCATCCGCCCTGTCCAAACCAATCGTAAGGTAAGTTGACGTTCCAAGAAATGACACGTGTAGTATAATTTATGAATAGACCCATGAATGTGTATATTACACAGTTATGTAACTGATAAAACTTTGCATTGTTTACCAACATCAAATCACTTTTGCGCCCATATTTGTCATTGGGGCTGGCAAGTTTTGTGAGATATCTCCATTGACGATCAATTATGAATAGTATGAGAATAATTACACGTACACCAGTAGACAGATGCTTCTTAGTTCCTCGTATAACTTGTGGTAGCCTTGGTGCTTAGTTTAGTCTTCGGATATTCACAGATTACATAAAAATCAAGAGTAAACTGATTGTTCTCATAAAACTCTAGGAGCTCCTCTGAAAGATGACAAAACAAAGGAATTGTAGAAGAACTCCTTTTATGGATGCAAATCATCTTAATCACGGCCTTTCTGACCATGTTTCATTTGGGTAAGCTTCTTAGTCTTTATGTTACTATAACTGATCACACAGATATTTATTGATCACAGTTGTTCATAGTATGGTGAAAGCTCATAACATTGCTTGCCATTCATTAACTTCTAGGATGTGTTCAAGTTGTTTTTCAGTAAATGGTCTGGTGAAGCTCATTACATTATGAGACTTACAATTCTTATTATGCTACCACTTGCTCAAATGTAATCGGTGTCACCTATTTGTAGGAGAATTTGAGAGTACACATTTGAATTGTTTCCCCAAATTTGGAGAGATCATGATAAATGGATTAATGGTACGTCAAACTATTCTCCTCCATGGCTTCACCTTTTCTGAGTTTTAAGTTGATACAACTCAGCTAATGTATGCTCATTTTCAATACTCGTGCATGCTTCACATTGAGCACTTCATCTCCTTGATTTTTCTAACAGGTGAAGCAGAAATCACACTTCTATCATCTGCCTGAATCATTGCCTTTACTTCACGCTTTCCAGGGTATTAAAGGAACATGGTGTATTCACATTGAAGCATGTCTTTGGAGCAGCTCTGATCCCTCATGTTCTTCCAAAAGTGTGGCTGCAGAAGTTGCAGATCATAATTCCAATGGTGGCAATGTTACTGATTGTGCAGTACTTGATGACTGTGTCACAAGCACTAATATGAACACAAATACCAAAAGAAAGAAAAAAAGGGTAAAAAGATTTCACTACCTCAAATCTGCACTCCTGGATGTTCTGAGGGCTGTCCATCTTTCAAAGAAGAAAAAAAAGAAATGGAAGAGACCACAAAAAAATTACTCCCTAAATTACCCTGTAAATACACTTGAGAAGGTTCATCTTGATAGGAATATGGGTGTCTTTGCCCCAGAGAAGTGCGGTTTCTTGGGGTCTGCAAGTGAAGCTGAGTGTAGCGGACAGTGGGACTCCTGTTCAGCAGTGGAGACTCCTGGTGAGACATTATCAGAATCAGTATCAGTTTCTGGTATCATCAAGAAATACTTCTCATCTTATGAAGAGGTAACGTCAAGCTCAGAGGTTATCTTTAAACCAATCCAAAGTGGACATAAAGAACAATTGAAGGCTAGAACTAATGATTATCCCCCAAATGTACAAGTTGATATAACACCACAATTTGCAGCCAAAACACCCAACCAAATGATACTTTTTCCATTGCCAACTGATCCTAGCTCTGAACCCTCAAGGAAAAAGCTTAAGAAAACTGAAGTTGGAAAACGTCTTCTTGTGGCCTCAAATAATCTTGGAATTTCAGCAAGTAAGCAAAAACCTGCCGTTTCTCTCTTCAGATGCTTAGAGGGAAAATTGCTGATGCCTAACTCCTCTTCTCTTGTTAGAAGTCTAGTCTTTGAGATCGTCGAAGATGATGATGACTGAAGAATTTTGGTCTGCCAACAAGTTAAACTGTTTGTACTGGAAAAACAACAGTTATACTGTTAGGATTATGCCATGAAGTGTCCCTGATCATGTAGAGAAGGTTGGGCCCTGCCACAAGCTACCAATCAATGATTCACTTATGGAGAACCTCATCAAGTAATTCTGTATGGAGGATGTATTGGTGTTGTCCTTGAGTCAATTATGCTCAAGATCTTTTCTATATCAATCATTAATCTGAATAGCCGGCAGCTTGAGACTTACTAAATTCACTCAATTGACCTTGGCCTCCCTGCTTTTTTTTAGGCATTCATTTGGAAGCTTAATCCCTCGAGAGATGTTTTTGGAGGTGTCTCTCCATCTTACGCCTATGATGCCAACTCCGTTTCGTTGAGGGTATTGTTGATTTAAAACTTTTGTCTCCTCTGGCAAGCTCAGTGTCTCTGAATCATGCACGCCTTGCACTTCTATATCCCCAGATTATTGCAGTATGCTTCCACTGCTCGATTAGAATCAAGGAGGAGATTTGTACATGTTGCAGCAAGCCATTGCATCCTGTACTAGACTACATTATTTTGTCAAAGTCAACTGAAGATGTGGATTCTTCCATGCAATCTAATCTCAATCCTCTAGGAGATTTTGGGACAGAACGATAGCACGTTGAGAGCATATTCAATCAGTTGCAAAGTTTTAGAGATTCAAGATGGAACCCTTCTCTGAAGCGTTCTATCAAACCGAATTCTGTTGAACCAATCTTCATGGCAGAGTGATTTCATTCGTTGTGTAATTTTTTAGCAGACAGTCGCCAAATATATGTCTTGCAAGTTCCACTCTTTCTGGATACTTTGCTAGCAGATATTTCATGGGCTACTACGAGAGCTGGCCCAAATAGCATGTCATTGGATACCCTGATCTCCTAACAGTACTATAAGCATTGGAGGTTGCTTCCTTGCAGAGTCATTCACTTGGAGTGCTATTAATCTTTGAATAACTTCAATTATCTTGCCCATGTTAGTGGTGAGCTCGCGACTTAGCTTCTTGTGGAGTGATTCTAGACCACTCTAAGGCTTACAAGGAAGATTTGTCTTCTTGGCTTCCACATGAAACTGTCTTATCTCTTTCTCTATGTAAAAATGTTTTTTGACTACAGTGAGCATCATTGATGTTTTCTCTATTAACCAAGTGCTAATATTAATATAAACCCGACTTTAGCCTTTATGCCTTCTGAGGCACTGGGTCGTTCAAGTTTCTTATTGCATTATCGTCCTATTTTATCCCGCATTCTTACTTATAAGATGTTATTTGGGACACCCTGCTAGAAAATTAATTGGTGAATTGTGGTATTGTTGGTATTTCATCCCCAGTTCTTGGAGGAGGAATTAAGAGACTTGGCTGAAATAGATAGAGGGAAAGGGAAGGGAGAGTGGTAGGAATGCACATTCCTTCCCTCTCTTCAGATAATCAGATTTCCTTGATAAGCTAACTGTCATCTTATTTATTTCACTAAATTCTAATATTTGTGGGTGAAGAAAGGAATACTATGCTTTATTGCTGACCCACTCTTTTTTCTTGTACCTTTTTCAAAGAAAAAGCAAAGGCTTTTGAGGAATCAATTTTCCAAAGTAGCAAGAAATCAATGCATTGGTTGGAAAAGCTTTCAAGACTTTCTTAAGGGAATTTTATCTCTCGTGTGTTAGCATTATTTAATTGGCAAATAGCCAGAGGGGACTGTAATCTGAGATACTTGAAACACCTCCACTGAATATAGTTTATCTACCGAAGAAAGAATGATAATAATCTTGTATAATGGAGCACATATGACAGATCAAATCAATTCAATTTAACTTTAAGAGTAATTCAAGTGATAACAGAAACGAGTTATAAATTTAGATGTTCTAAGTTCGAATCTTGGCAATCCCTTGGAGTCAGGCATGAGGGATTTATCCCTTATGAATTAATCCTAACGTGGATGACCTGCTTTTGACCAAACCAGATAAGAGATTAGTTGAAATGCACGTAAACTAACGTCAACAACATCAATCCAACTATTCAAACTATACAGATTAACTCGTCACACATTAACCCTTCTTTCCTTTTTAAATCACAACTTAACCCTTCAACTCCAATTCACTCATAAATGCAGAAATTTCATATGGGTTTAAAGTCTCAAAGGTCAATATGACAAACTGTGTTAGTATTTGGTTATGAATCGAACCTTTTTTTTTTCTTTTTGAAAGGAATTGTTTGACATGAGAATTATTGCCACCAAGTGTTTACCCAATGTGAAACTTGGTGTAAAAAATTCAAGTTACATAGGACATGTTTGATTGAAGTATCGAATGATAGTTTGATTTATTCTCCGAGTGTTAAGTATTTGTCGGCCGAAAAGAAGGTTGCACAATGACTTCTTAGACATATGATCTATTAGTACATTTATTTGTATGGTACGAAAGGGTACTGTGGAGTGTTAAGTATTTAGTAAAATTTTCACCGCATCTCAAAAAAGAAAAAAAACTAGTGTTAGGGTCACTTGTAAATAATGCAGAATAGACTCAAATATACTCATTGTGAACCAAAAATAACCCAAATCTCTCAATATTTTCACTTCCACAGTACTAAGAAGCCAGGAAATGATTTTAAGCTTGACGTATTCAAATAATAATCATGATATTAGCAGGAGAAATTACACAAATTTAAAAAGATCAATAAATTTAATTGTTCATGCCATTCTAAAAGAAAATAATTAATTTAATTTTAACACGATATGATCTACACGACTAAAACGGTATTTTAATTTTGAACAATGCGATGTAATCCAAATTTACAAATCAAATTTGCATTCCAAATAAAGAGGACCGTTGAAACAGTGGATCTCATTTAAAAAAGTTAATGAGACTCACTGATCCAACGCTCACTCTTTTTTTGGAATGTAAATTTGAATTGCAAATTTAAGAAAGACATTATTTCCCTTTAATTTTACATACTCATAAATTCTTCAATTTGGTCTAAGATTGTCCTTGCAGTCTCCAAATCAATTCTTCGCCTGTAAGAAGTGCCAACTAGTGCACCTACCTTTTTATTCGATAAAACTGCACAAGGAAGTCTGTTTCACCAATGTAACCTCCAAACATGGATAACTACAGACGTCGTCGTAGCGAGTCTGTCTCTCAAGCCACGACGGCGTTTTAATCGTTGCACTGTTAGTGATTGAACAGGGGGTCATCATTCGTCCCACCTTTTTTTTTTTTATCAAATCCGACCTTTAGTTGAGGACTGAATAATTTATATTGACCACAATGTCCTTGTCCTCGTTGAAACCCACAATTATTATAATAATAGCTGAAAATTTTGATACACATGTATAATATAAATCCATGGGGTAATTACAAAATACCCCCTTTTAAGTTTGGCTAATGTTCCAATCAACTCCTTTTGATTTTAAATTTGACAATTTATCCCCTTTAAGTTTTTGTGAGATTAAATTAATTGACTTAGTGGATAAAAAAATTTAAAAAATCTAAAATATTGTCAATTTGTAATATATTTTCTATCTTCTTTTTGTACCAACCCATTAAAAAACAAAGAATTAGCCTTGAAAACTCAGTAACCCCCCACCCTTATGCCCAAATTTGACAAACCTCTCAAGCCCCGTACCCATTTCTGACATACCCCTCCCCCAATCTCATACCCATCTCCAGCGACTCATCTTTCTACAATGCCGACAATTCCCTAAACCTTATACCTACCTCTTGTAGCTCCCCTTACCCTTATACCCAATGTCGATAACCCCTCAACACCCATATCAAACGAAGACAGTACTCCAAAACTATACCCACGTCTAGCAATCCCTCGCATCTATACCAGCTCCGACAATCCTCCCAATGTCCATACCAGTTCTAGTGGTCCTCTCGTTCCGAACTCTAACAATCCCCACCCTTATCAACAAGCAAATTTAAAAAACAAAGAAACTTTTCAACCTATACACACACAATCAACGAATATTCAAAAGGTATTCATAAAAAAAAAAATTGACACCAAACACCAGCACCACTACCCCCAAAATTTGTTAGGGAGGTGCTTTAGTTTTGCTTAGATGAAGGAGTTGTAGGTTTGCTAATTACAAATGAGTGGGGGGCGTGGTTTGGTGATTGAAAAGGGGTTGGGTGAGATATTTTTTTGAATATTTTGTTTCTGAAGGCATTGAGTATAGGAGGGCAAATTTGTAATCAAATGAATTAAAGGTATTTATGTCAAATTTAATGGGAAATGGGGTAATTGCTTTTAGTAAAAACTTGAATGGGACGAGTTGTTTAAATTAAAACCACAAAGGAGTTAATTGTAACGCGATCTAAACTTTAAGAAGACATTTTGTAATTAATCGTAAATGAAAATTGACTTAAAATTCACACATAGTTTTTTAAGAATCAACTCGAATTGAAATAAAATTTGATAGATATTCAGATCAAATTATTTTTAAATTCAACTATGTGGTTTTTTTTTTATATTTCTTTAGCGGTCACTATATTTTATTTCTTCCCGTTACGATGGATGCAACTATGTGTGTAGCGCATGGTTGAAATGCATTAGAGAGAGAGAGAGATATGACTTTAAAAAACATAAGGTTCTTTCATGGGTTTACACATTAGCATACATACAAAATAATTATCAATTAATTTTTAGTTTATAAAGTAATTGTCTATTTATTTGTTTTGTAGTGTTAAAGCAATTACCATAATTATTACATGACAACATACAATAAATATGGTGGAAAAGTGGTAGGAGTTCTGATGTAGTATTAAAATGGGATATTAAATGTAACATATCAATCAATTTTTTAGACATTAATTGGTTGGATACATAAATACTAAAATAATTCCCAACTTTAAGCCCATCCTTTTTTTTTCTTGGGTGTTTTGCTCCGTCGAAAGAACAATGCTATCGAGCTATAATTTAAGAATTTAATGATTATGTCCATTAGATTGTCAGTGAGTCACAACATTAAAATATCTCTAGGTCTTAACACCATCAATCAAATGATCATAATACATTAAGTTCAAAAATTATGTTTCAATAGCATTAGTATAAA